CTGCTGAACAGTTTAGATTTGACCAGTATTCTCATTTGCGGGTAGCAATGTCTTGAATTTTTTTTTTTCTAGTAAACATTACCTACAAATTAATTACATTTAATCCGGTTTGGTAGCAATGTTATAAAACTTACATGACTGCATCAAATTAAAATTTCATGAATGCATCTTGTGTAAACCCTAAACATTACCTACAAATTAATTACATTTAATCCGGTTTGGTAGCAACGTTATAAAACTTACATGACTGCATCAAATTAAAATTTCATGAATGCATCGTGTAAAATACATTTTCAATGTGTTCTCCTAAAATTATGTTAGAAAATGATAATTAATTTATAATTAAGGTCTTTTAAATGAGTGCTAATTATGTAAATAATTTTTGTATAAGTTGTTTTTATAAACAAGAGAGAATTATGATTAAAGTTTTGGGAAAGTTGCATATATGTTTAAATGACACACGCCTCGGTTCTAACTTTTAAAAATCATTCATCTATCTTAAAATAACGTCATTAATTAAAAGTGAGAGAAAGATAAATAAATAAAAGTCAATTTATATTTTGTCAATTATTTATTTTTAAATTACATATAATTCTATTTTTTTGTGAAAAATTTTATTGTTCTTCAATTTTGAAAATAATTTATTAGTTTTTCTTTGAAATTGATATGTTTTAAATCATGATAGACGTGATATTTAAGATGTAATTTAATGGTTAAAATTGAGTAAGAAATCAAGTCTCATTTAATTGTTGACACTTACATTAATAATTTGTTCTATCTTAATATTACACAAATGATGTTATCTTATATAAAGAATTGCATGTGTCACTTAGATAAATAAATAAGAAAGATTAGTATTCATTTAAAAACTAGAAAGAAGATGTGTCATTTAAAAAAGATCATAGGTGAGGTCAATGCAATTTTCTTTAAACTTTTTATACGTAAGTTTTTGTAACAATCAATTTTTGATTTTCCTCTTTGTAAGATATTTTTCTTTGATTTTTATCCCTCCAAAATTTGAAATCACTAATTTTGTTTCAATATTTATTTTAAGATAGATAAATAACATTTATTTTAGTCATCTTCAAAATAATTTAAAGATATCACATGTTGATATAATACTACATACACTATCAAATGTCATTTAGGGATAGTAACTTGACATTCTATTCAATACATAAATAGTTAATTTGTGTCATGTAATAAGGACAAAAGAATGATTTTCAATTTAGAATGAAAAAGAAATTATTAATCACCAAAAATCAAAGTTAAATCAATTTACAATGATTAAAAATGTACTTAATTTTTTTAAAAAAAAATTATGGAGGGTGTATTTGTTTTGAAAAAGTTTACCCCAAAAGCTAAGGGTGTATATGTTTCAAAATACCAATTTTTTTCTTTCTCTTTGCCCTGCCACCTTCATCATTCATTAGAAAATAATATGCTGGCACTGACTACCACCGGAGGTGATTTCCCACAGTGGCAACGACTACTCTCCCTTTTTTTTCCTTCATTTTTTCTTCACTTTTGCTCTCCTTCTTTGTATTGAGAACTAAAACTTGAATATTTGAAAGGAAGCAAAAATTTGTCCGAAAGGTTATAAAGAGAATAAGGATCACTGAGAAACTATTTAAACCAAGATTTAACTCTTTCAAATTTTAACTGACCCAGCACATGAGATATACTTCCTTCCAAATGATTTTTTATAAGTAATATTTTGGAAAGAAGAAAGATTCTTGAAGGTGGGATAGTACCAAAAAAGAGAACTACAGGAAAAAAAATATGATAAAGATGGTTTATGATAAAATTGTGCACAATAGATTAATCCAACGGTAGTTAATTATGTATATGGTGGATCACCTATTATGTTGTCCACCGTAGTACCCGTCTCAAATAAATGCTTGCATTGTGAAGTTGGAGTTTATTTTCTTCTCATTTAGCCTTTTGGTCAATTGCATGAATCATCTCAACTTAACATTGTAGATTTTTTTACTTTTTTCTTTATCATTGACCCCAAGAAACATGACTTAATTTTGTTAAATTAAAACAATAAGTGTAATGTTTTAAATCATAATTAAATGATTCTGATTAAAAGAAAAATACATGACTTTTTTTTAAGATAATTATATATCCATTAGGTAATTTTTAATATTGATCATTCGTGTATAATTATACATCCTAGATTTATAATTTTCATTTATTGAGATAAAAAAATTCTCATTTCATATGTGTGTGTTTGAGATGATTCCTATTCCACTGTTTTTAAAAGTGTAAATCTCCGTTTACAAAGTTCAAACAGGTTCCAAACACACTTTTAAGTCATTTGGCAGCAAAGTAAAAGATATCTGAAGAACCGATTACATTGTCGTGGCTATAAAGTCCAATATTAATAAAAGTCTACAATTGATAAAGCGCCATTTATATTTATCTGACCGCAATTTTTGAATAAAGAATAAGATCTTCAAGAAAATCTATCTTTTTCTCTTAAGAAATCGTATGAACATAAAATCCACTGGCTTACAAATTTAACACAAACCAGAAAGTTTTATTTCTTCACAAGAGGCAAACATAGATATTAACGACGGCAGTACTATTGTTACAAAAGATTGTCAGAACTTGATTCCCCTCCAGATTTAAAAGATCCAGGCATGACAAAAGAGAATGAACCTTCGGAATCATCAAATAGAGGCCTGGTGAATTCATTAAACCCCCCAAAGTTGGGTTCAAAGTTCAAAGATGAGAAATAATTTATAGGGTCATCACTATTGCCTTTTATATCCATCACATTTTGAACTTCATTTCCATCTGAAGGATTTGATCCAAAAGTGAAGTTCACATTCCCTGCTTTAGTGTTTTCTTTGCTGTGATGAATTGGTGGCTCAGCTACCCCTTTAGTGTTGTCATCCAAGGGAATGGCTGGTGTATGGCCTTGGAAAAGTGCAATGTGCCCAAAAAGCTTGTCTTTCCTAGAAAACGTTGTACCACATGAACAAAGCCATTTATCCTTACCACAATGTTTCTCATGGGTTTTTAGATCAGCCATGACTGAGAACTTCTTGGTGTTGCACCTGCTGCAAGTGTAACTCTTGTCACAATGTGTCCTTTTGTAGTGGTTTTTGACGCACAAGATAGTCTTCAGAGGCTGAAACTTCTTGTGATCCTTGTTGCGCTTGCAGCCAGGATAGGGGCAGGAATACCTCTTGATAAGCTTTGGCGAGCCAGATTCTTTGTGTGGCTTCGCCAGCGCTGCTGCGGTTTTGTACTCGTCGCCATGGCCGCGCATGTGCATACGAAGATTCGCGTCTCTCTTGAACCCCTTCCCACAAATTGTACAGAAATGGGTATGAGGTGCAAGGATTTCTTCTTTTTCTAACTGTAAAATCTCATAAGAACCAGGGGCAAGGTTTTCTCCATCATCTGCATCTTCTTCATCTTTGAGATCATGTTCAACCATATTGTAGTTTTGCTCCATTTCACAATTATTAGGTAGATCAGTCTGCATGGACTGATCAGACACTTTTTTCCCACCAATGTTTTGTGGTTGAATACAGCTACTACTTGCACCTGTTCCTGAAGGAACACTAGTCCCTTGAAGCTGATCAATCTGTGCAACCAATGGACTAGTGTTTATAAGGCTACTCCTAGCAGAAGGGAGAAGACTACCTGCAGTAGAGATCAACTGAATAATGATTGAGGTAAGATCAGTAGTGATGAGTTGCTGTTCCTGAGTTACAAGTTCATTAGGCTGTCCAACTCTAACGCCTTTTTGACGAACAATCAAATGCACTAGATCCCGGAGCTGATGAATCTTTTCTTCAAGGAAGGACAAGTTATTCAGCATCACACTGGGGTCCCAATCTTGGACTCTACTAGTCTGTGATGATTCACTCTGATGACGGTTTTCTTGATCAGTGAATTCAATCTCATTGTTTGAATTGCAAGCAAGTGGAGACTGGTTTTGAGAGGGCTGGTTGAATTCTTTGAAAGGAGATTCTACCCTGATACCAAAATCTGAACTTGAGGGACCATCCCATTTGGGTTGATTATTCTGCAAACCAAAACCTGGGAAAGAAAGAGGATCTGAGGATAAACCACTTGCAGCAGAGGTTAACGGTGGTGACCTTGCCCAAGTGTTAGCACGTAGGCTCCCGTTTGAATCCATTTCAAATTCTGTGTCAAGGTATCTAGATCACTGTAAATCAAAGGTAAAATGACTAAGAATCTTGGTGACATAGTTCATCAGTATTGTGTAAATAGTTTACAAAAATCAAAACCATATGGCATTATCATGTATCACAGATCCAGGTAGAAATAAAAAATTGTGGTCAGGGAAGATTTGAAAGGAAAATTAAGCATGGTCCACAAATTAGAAGAAATATGCCATTCAACAAAGATGGCCAAAAGAATACAAATATCACATGCCACTTGAAACTATTACTGACTACTGGAATCATATCCATGAAACAAAATATCTCTATACTTTAGTTAAATCAACTTTTGACGTGGGTAATTCACCTAGTAAAGGATAGATACGGTTTTAATTCAGTCAATACTAACACAACAATCTCAAGACCAAGTTAATATTTACTTCAACGTATATTCAGCACCCAAATTTGAAAATTTCCCCTTTAAGTAGATATTTATATCATACCACACAATCAGAATAAAGAAACCCTCTTCATCTTTCACACCCTTTACTCCCAGGTGAAGCTGCACATCACCTTATAGAAAGCCCCAAAAAGTAAAATACTTCAAACTCTTTCTACCCAATCCATCCCCTCTCACCCTTTGTTTTAAGAATCCAAAATTGTAAAATTGATTCCATAAAAAAAAATATATAAAAAAAATAAAAATTGACCCAAGAAACAAAAACCCTATTCAGAGAAAACCTATCAACAAAATTAATTAAAAAGAAAAAAAGCAAAACAGCGCATGCTTTCTGGAAGGCCCTGGTACATGCAAGTAGCAACACAAATTCATATAGTAAAAAATTAGATTAAGGGATGAAAACACTTACAGATTCAAAGCACAGAAGAAGTTCTAAGCAAAGTGCTCCATTTCATAGAGAGAGAAAGCAACAAAAATAAAATTAAAAAAATAGAGGCATGAGAAAAAAAACAAGGGTTTTGAAGCAAATGTTTATATAGGGCATTCTCTGTTAGCATATGTTGTGCTGAACACAGTAGCAGCACCATGATAGCTTAGGTCAACCCCACAATTATGACCCTTCATTTGTAGGTCAATTTTGTTCACTCAAATATAGGGCCCCACCAATCAGATGGTAAAGTTTCTATCAGCTTTTGCATCCAACAATTAGAACAGTTTGTTTCTTTTGTTTTAGTTAAATGATTCTTTCTAATATTTATATTTTTGTCTTTTAAAATAATATCATTTTAAAAATTATTAATTACATAAATTATTGTACTAATGGATTTTTGTAAAATGAAAAAAATTATTATAATTGTACATTCATTTTAATATTTAATGAGACATAATACTAGGAATACTTTAAAATATTTTTTAAGATATATTAAAAAACTAAAAATGAGATGCATTTTATCGAAATACATTGAATATTAATTTACCAAAAAAAAAAGAAATACATTGAATATTTTTAACTATTATCTGATCATTAATTTTTATGTTGGTAAGTTTATTTTTATAATAATTATTTTAAAACTCATCTAAAATTATTTTTGTTACACTAAGAATATATTATAATTAAATTTAAATTACATGCATAAGTGTTTGAATATACTTTTAGTTCGTGTAAAATAATAATTCACGTAAAATAAATAAATTTTGATATTCATTTATGTAAAAAATTTCTTTAATTTCAACTTTCCATATTTTGAAATTATTATTTTTATTCATATAAAGTTAACTAATTTTAATTTTGATCTTTCTAATATATTTTTTTAATTCTGAACCTTTCAAAATAAAAAATTATTATTTTTATCAATAGCCTTCTATATATGATAAATATCATTCATATTAAAAACTGTTATTTTCTTACATAAAAAGTCACATGATGATATAGTAGTATAAGCACAATAAGTGTCATTAGAAAAGAGTCACTTAGTTAATCTCCAACTAAACACAAATGATTAACATATATTACATAATAATAATAATAATAATAATAATTTTTTACTTTTAATAAATAGAAATTAAAGAAAAAACTCTAAAAATTAATACTAAAATTTATTATTTTATATATATATATATATATATATATATATATATATATGTTCTTACA